ACACAGAGAGAGAGAAAGAGACAGAGGAGACTAAATTACCGTATTTACAAGCACAGATTCCAACAATTAATTCATTTCCCTTTTAGCTTTGAGAACACAAACAATTGTTCACGTTGAGTTGTACTGCTCCTTGGAGCCTAATAGCTAGTGTGATGTGTGCTTTAAAAGGTACTTATTAGAGCCAGCAGTGCTTTAATAATTAAATCCCCTATGCTTGTCCCTGTTGAAAAATCTTTGGAGCCAGGATGCTCCAATGAAACCTTAGACAATCCACAGTGATGTGGTAAATCTGCACAGATTTTTGTGGGCTGGTCTAATTGTAAAAGGACAGAAAGACAGGTTAATTTTAAAGGGAACTAGTTTTGTTTAGGTAGTTTAGGTCACTTCACTCTTGTGAAAAGTTGAAGCTGCTTATAGATGTCAGAGAGAGATAAAACAAAAACAAAAAAACACACACAATAGTTTCTTGATTTCTTAAGCTGGAGGCTACATTAATTAGCATTTACCTATTCCTTGTTATCAATCACACAAATAGAAGATTGACATTGTGGAAGGATGAGAGAAGACCAATTAGAAGTGACCATCTGCCAACTTTGTTAGAGGATAAAACTTACAACCCTCTATAGAAAAGTTGAAACACCTCTTCACAAATTGGCAAAAAGATTTGTTATAGCCTCTGTTACAAGTGTAAAACCACTCACTCTAACTAGGAGCATTGTTATCTCTTTTTGTGTCTGTTCTACGGAGCAATCCAAACAAAGTACACCGTACAGTCTGAAGAGACATTACTACCTGTTTTGGCTATCACGCATTTTGAGTTTCTTTATTTTTTTTACCTGTGCATTTCTTCAGGCTGCCAGGCCGTTTACCGTGCATCCCCAGCTTACAGTTGAAGTTTTCCTCCCAAAACTCGGCAAACCAAACATTTCTTCTGTTGTTGGACAGCGAGCGGCTACGGAAATACCGATCAAACGCTGTGAAAAAAGAAAAGAAAAAAAAGACAGAGGGTAAGAGTTAAAACACATAGGGTGAAGATGGGTTTTTCTTTTTCCTTTTTAAAACTGTTCTGAATACATCCGCCTGTCCACAAAGAGGATTGAACCACTATCATTCTGATTAAAAAGGTCTTTATTTCAACTGAGCCTGCCTGTACTTAAGAATTAGGTGTTCATGGCAGTGTAATACGTTTTGGCTCAGAAAGGCATATGTTATGAATAGCCTATGTATCTAAATTATGACTGAAAAGCCATTTCTGTGGAGCGATCCAGTGTAGGAGAGCTCCCATCAAATACTGAAGCCGCGAGGAGGGAGAGCAAACATTTTAGAATGAGGTTTCACAGTCTACGTTGGCAACTTGTCCGATTTAATAAGTAGAGAGGAGGAGAGCAACAGGGAAGAACACGTTTCTCCACTCACAGGAATGGAAATACCTGTCAAAGGCTGGCAGGCTGAGATAAAGAGATGGGCGAAAGAAAAGAGAGATGAGGGAGATAAAAACACTCCTTGTACATGTACAACTTTGCTCATACCACATTTAATTGGGTATATAGCTTTTCGCTTTGTTGTCTGTGAGGAAAAGATGGCAAAACTGGATTTTGTAATAGACTTCCTCTCCATATTGCTTTAGAACCGGCCTTAACATAGTTAGTGGTGTGTTGGCTACTTGAACACAGCAAGAGTTATTCAATGTTCTGATGGACCTCAGGTCTGCACCAAGAAGACTGCAAAGAAGTATTAAACTTGCCTAATAAAGAGAAAGTGTCATTTCCAACACCACTGGGACAGTAGTGCAGGGCAATACAGTGCTCATGAAACAAACCACAGAGACTGGGGAAATCACTGGGGACTGTCAGACTGACTTGGACAGCCTGTGCCATGCCTGACTCGCTGTAAAAGCTGACAAGAGCTGCCTTGATTAATCTCCTCTGCTGTCAGGAAAATGGGACCGGAGTGCACCTGTGTAGCTCAATTGATACTTAGACTGCTGGGAACAGTGGGTTCACTCCCTCTGTAGCACAACAGGTAGCAGAACATCAACTGGGATCACATGCTTCTCATTGTGGTCACAGATGTAATGCTAATAAAAATATAAGCATTTGCGGTACTGTGTGGTTCTTAAGACAACATAGAGTTAAGGTTGGCAGTTTGGGGACACTGGACTCATAGGAAGCAGTAAAATAAAGAGTTTTGGTTCATTTGCTTTCCTGTCAAGAGTCTGATTCCACTCTCTGTGGTATGCTGTACGTTAATTATGAAGATGGAGTGAGAAGACAGTTAGCTTAATCTGACAACCTAACCTTGCTAAAAACACTTACTGAAGTCAGTAAGTGCCTGTTTTCAGGCTTTGTGCTAAACTATGTTAACCGCCCCATTGCTTCTAGCTTCATATTTAAAGGTCTAATGTGTAGGAGTTAGTGGCAATCTAGCAGTGTAATTACAGACTGCAACTCCCTCACTTCACCCACCCCTTCCACACGCAAAGGAGCAACTATGGTGGTAGTGAAAATGTGGAAGCTCCTATCTAGAGCTGTTGTTTGGTTTGTCTGTTCTGGGCGATTGTAGAAACATGGCAGTTCAACACAGCTGACTCCATCGAGACAAACAGCTCTTTCTAAGGTAACAAAAAC